CAATGCACCGCCCTGCAACAAAACCCGCTCGAACCGACAAACGTGCTGTGTCAAACTCGAAGAGAGAGAAGACCTCTAGAACTGCTTCGACTTCAGGTCGACGACACTCACATGGCTCGAAGAAAGCGACCTCGCACTCTAAAAGCAGTCCAGGAAGCAGAAGCAGACGGATCGAGTCTATTCGCGTTGCGAAGGCGCTCGCAGCGTCAAGTGCTGGTCTCCTGATCCCTGCTACTCGATCAAGGACGTCATCATCTAGAGCGATGTCCGTGCGTAGTATTGGTAGCAATCGCGGCCAGCGCTCCGACGACAATTCACCGCTACGCATGGGATGTTCGGGGTGCCGGGATACACGTCGCCGTTGCACCGGTTGTTCGGGTTGCTGTCTTCATTGTGTGTGTGTGAGGTGTGGATGCCGCATGTGCTGTTCGTCTCGGCTTGCTGCTGTGCAGAAAACGATGGCGCACATGCTGGATGTGATCGAGTCGAAGGGGGCCTGTAAATGGATGAGCAACGCGTCAGCAGGAAGTGAGGGGTATCACTGTGGCATGTTATTCTTCTGTCCGCAGTGTCATTGCTGTGAAGAGCATTGCCCCTGCTTGCTGACCTCTACTGTGTCCTCCGAAACCACAGCTCCTGCTGCTGCTGCTGCTGCAGCCAGTACTTCAGATTCATCGTCCGGTTTCGTAGCTTCACTCAACGCAACTCTAAGAGGAAATACTGCTGCGCCACCTTCTCGGAGAGAACGGCGCTTTAAGATCAACCCCGTAGCGGCTCAGCGTCGTGGTCCTAACTTGCCCACGAACGAAGGCGAAGAGGCAGTTCCAGCTTCAGCGCACGGACGCAGCAATGGAGGACTACCTACGTTCGCGCGGCATGCACATGGACGTGGTCCGCTTCCTACATTTGACTACGGCATTGAAGGCGCCTTCGGTCTTGGTCCTATGGATCAACGTGGCCAGTGTCGCACGTGGAGACCGGCGCCGTCCGATAAGAACGAACAGGAGGACCTGTTCCGTGCAGCCCGTGTGCGCATGAAGCTCGTGCGCTCGGCATTCACAAAGAGCACGGGCTTGTCGTCAGGTTCGGGTTGCCTGGACGGCGAGCAGTTGTGGCAGCCAGAGCGGATCCGGATGATGTGGGAACGCCGGGACTTTCACGGTGTATTGGGACTGCCACGCGACGCCACGACCCAGCAGATCAAACGTCAGTACCGCAAGCTCGCACTCAAGCTGCACCCGGACAAAGCGTCCGATACGTCAGCTTCGTTGGAGTCTACGGTCGCTGAAGCTGGCAAGAATGTCGGAGCAGAGAGCTCGGGTAAACGTGTGGATGCCTTCGTGGCGGCGACGCACTCGTACAAGATTCTGCTCGGAGACGTTGACGCTATGCGTGGACTCGGGTAAGTGAAAAGGCCTGTGGAGGGTCGTTTCACGCTATTCCAGCTTTTAGCAGCACGGACAACAAACAGATAGCGACAATATGGATGTGAATCGCATCTTCTCGGCGGAGCAGATTGCAGTGCCTCCCGACCTCCCGCACGTGCTGAAGGACTGGACGAAGGCCGTGATTCGGGAGAACCCGACCGACCTACTTGCTTTCTCGCAGCAGTGGTTCCAAGACAAGGCGGCGCAGGTGTCACAACGCAAGGCTGTAGAGAACCAGATCCGACGCATGCGGCAACTGTTCGAGAGCTACGATGTAGACGGTCAAGGTCGCATGGAGGCTAAAGATCTGGGCAAGTTCCTGGGTGAAGACCTCGGCATGGACGGGTACGAGGATGGCAGTCCTGCCGAGGTGCTGGAAGACCTGGTAATGGAGCTAGACCCAGACAACACGGGATTCGTCGAGCTGCACGACATCATCCAGTGGTACCAGCAGCGGTAAGTACTTCCAAGTATTGAGATATCTGCTGAAATGTACGAGCATTTGAGCCTGCCATCTACACATCGAGTCGTTTTTTTCACACTTTATTTCCTGCTTTTTCTGATCGCGTTTTCGTACATGCTCTTTGCCTTCTCTAACGTTTCTGCCTCTGCATCTTCACGAGCCCGCAGTACCAGAAGATCGCGCTGCTTTGTTTTAACTCGAGCTCACGGTCGTGTCCGCGACGGACGTAGCAGCCGCAGACTTGGAGTCATTCTGCCAGATGCGGATCGTGCCGTCTTCCGAGCCCGTCGCGAATGAGTCACCCGAGGGCGAGTAGCGCAGACATCTCACGGGTCCGTGGTGTCCCTTGTGCGTCTCCAATAGCTCTCCTGTCTTAAAGTCAAAGACGCGCACCCACGTGTCCGAGCCACCAGCCACAAACTTGTTCTCCGTTGGATGCAGCGACGCGCCTCCTTCCTCTGCGAACGAAATGGGCATCGGGAACGCATGCAGCAGTGCAAAATCCTTGTTAACGTCGTAGAAATACACCTACAAGAAGCAAAAAATGAGTCTCCAACACCAAAAAAAATAAATCGACTCGTGGTCTTGTACCTGTTTGCCGGCCGCGACTGTGAGCACCTGTCCGTCCCTGGACGCTTCCATGTCCATGACGTCTGCGTCCACCTTGAACTGTCGCGTCTGCGTGTACGCATCTAGATCCCAAATGGTGACCGTGCCGTCCACTTCGCCCGTAGCTGCCAGCCGGTCGCTAAGTACAACAACCTTGCGGATCTGCTGGGCCGTGGACATCTCTGCAAGAGGCGGCGGCGGCAGCACCACGATGCCTGTACGTCCGTCAGCCTTGTAGGTCTGCAGCTGCTCCTTAACGCCCAATATATCGAAAACCCGGAGAATCTTTTCGTGGCCCGCAGTGAGCAGCCGTGCGCCGTCCGCCGTGAAAGCAACGCTCTTGACCACGTGCTTGTGCTCGAGTGTCGTGACCACATCGCCGGTAAGTGCGTCCCAGATCTTAACCGAAAAGTCAGCACTGCCTGTGGCTGCGAACTCGGCCTCGTTGTCCAGTTTGGCGCTCCACACCGCACCCTTGTGGCCCTCGAACGTGCCGATCCAGTCACCGGAGTCGCCGTGCCGCAACATGGGAAGCTTGTCGTGACATGCCGAGATCAGCAGGTTACTGCGACTATAGTGCAGCTCTGCCAGGGGACGAGAGTGGCCCGGACACACGATCGGGATCTGACGCAGCGCTGCCGGTGAAGGAGGAGACGCCGCTGGAGAGCTCATGGCCGAGACGTTACTGCTAGTGGAGCTGTTGGGGAAGGGGACGCGGACTTGGCGTATGTGAAGATCACTTGGCGGATGTTGCTCCAGTGCGGAGCTGCGTGTTGCGCGAAGATTCGAGCAACATAGCTCAAGTTGAAGCGGCGGCCAATCAGAACAGAAAGCGAAGATATTTTTTATTCTTCCCGTTTCGCGTTGTATTTTATCGCTTTTTGGGCCACAACTGTCTGGAAATAACTTTTTGGGCCACAACTGTCTGGAAATAATAAAATCAAATGCTAAAAGTAAAGTACTAAGGTTTCTTCAGCTTTCGACTGCAGCGGCTCAAATTGCCGCGTATATACCTTTATGACTTGCACGTTTGTTGGCACGGATCTGGAACTGGTGATCACGGTAAAGAAGCCGTTTTCCGCTTTTATATTTGGAAATGAAGCTCT